TTGACCCATAGTGACCCTATGTATGTTTCCAAGAAGAGGCTGGTGATTTTGAAGTGCCGACTTTGTGGTTCAAACCAACTTTGCAGACCAGTGCTTATCCTACAGCACCACATCAGGACTCAAAAACTACCACAGTACAACAAACTGACAAAGAGTGGTAGTGCATGTATATGAGTTTTTATTGAAAATATTCTGGCATGGGTCAGGCACACCTTAGTCCTCAAAGGGACATGACATCTTTGCCTCAAAATGACTACTTTACAGAGGTAATTTGCAACAAATTTGTTCAATGCAAAATGTCCTTTGATTCTTTAACTGCTGATTCCATTAACATTGATTTTAGATCCAAGTAAAATGAAGTCTTTGACAACTTCAATCTTTTCTCTGTTTATGATGATGTTGTTTGTTGGTTCAGAGGATTTGGGTTGGGTTTTTTTTTTACGTTCAGTTGTAGTCCAGACTGACTGCTGTAGTGTTTGATGTTCATCAACCAGTGCTTCAAGTCCTCCTAGCTTTCAGTAAGCAAAGTTGTGTCATCTTCATAGTGCATGATTTTAATGAGAAAAGAGGCTGGAGGGGAACAAAGATACAGAATGTAGCAGCAGATGCCTAGAGAGTGACTTTAAAGAAAGAAAAGAGATGTATAGAGGGGATCTTGATCAAGTTTTCCTGTTTGGTGGTATCCTTTCTCCCCACAAAACTTTTAGTAGAATACCCATTATTTATCAATGTGTATTTGTCAAAACTGGATTGGTCTAGGGTCTTGGTAGAGAGACATATCTTCTTGGAAACCGTCCACATTTTTGTTACATTGTTTTAGGAAGTGCATGATTACAATACCAAAGACTGTTCTAATGGTTGATTTTCCCCACACAAAGCTGTTGACATGCTACCGATTTGACTTATTCTATCCCACATTTATTTCCATATGGAAATCAAAAAGAAAATACATAAACATAGAGTCATTTTTCGTTATTAAATTATAATAATGTAAACAAGCACTATCCCAAGCCCCTTGTTGTTCTTGCCAAGGAAGAAAAGGATTCAATTAAATGGAAATTCTTGGGTAACACCCATTTTAAGAAAAGTTGATTATTTCTTTCTCCTACAGAGCAGCTGATGGGCTCCAACCACTGACATTGTGGTTGGCAGTCCAGTGCTTATATGGGTGAGTCAAAACTTATCTGCACTCTAGCTGTAGAATTTATTTTAATCAACTTATAGAAAACACAAATACATCATTTTTCAACATAATCTCTGCTTTTCAATACAATTTTTCCATCTGTCAACAAACTTTCGTAATCCTTTATGGAAAAATATTTTAAACTGAGCTGTGAGCCACAAATACTCGGCTGTCTTCACTTCTTCATCAGAGGTGAAGCCTCCTCTTCGAAGGACTGTTTTCAGGGGACAAACAGGTGAACACCTTATGGAACAAGATTAAGACTATAGGGAGGTTGCTTTAACACCTCAATACGAAGTTTTGCAGAGTGTCAACAGTGTAGACAGAGGTGTGTGGACGTGCATTGTCATGCAAGATCATATGCCCTTGGACAACCATCCTCTGGGTTTAGTCTGAAGTTTAGGTTTCAGTTCTTCAGTGAGCATCTCACTGTAATGAGCATTGTTGATTGTTGAACCTTTACTTGATATTGTTCCTATACTGGCCCTGGAGAATTCCAGAAAACTGTAAGCATCTATTTTCCAGCTGATGGTTTTTTTAATGTTTTTTGACCAGCGAGTAAGGATATTTTCATATCATACTCTGCTATTTACTGTCAGGCTTGTAGTGAAGAATCGATGTCTCGTCACCAGTAACAATTATTTTTAAAGAAACTTTTACCTTCCTTTGAGTTTCAGTCCAAGTTTTGTTTGCAGATGTCCAAAATGCCTTTGTATATGTTCTTCCATGAGTTGTTTCAGTACCCAGCTCAAACAAACTTTTTGAAACCCAAATCTGTTGTGGATTATTTCATAGGCAGAGCCATGGCTGATTTGCAAATGATTTACCACATAATCCACCAACACACAGCTATACAACAGAATCATTTCACATGCACGCTCAATGTTGTCATCAGCTGTGGACGTGGATGTACATTTTCATATAAATGGAGTGCAGATAATTTTTGACTCTTCCGTGTGTGTGTGTGTGTGTGTGTGTGTGTGTGTGTGTGTCTGTGTGTGTCTGTGTGTCTGTGTGTATGTGTATAGTGCTGCAGAGTAAGCACTGGACTGCTAACCGTAAGGTTGGCACTTCAACCCCATCATCTGCTCCTTGGAAACCCTGTATAGGGTTGCTATGAGTCAGAATCTATTTGATTGCACTTAACAACAACATGTCTTGTGATCCTGTGTAGGGTTTCTGAAGCTGTAAATAATTACAGGACACAGGGAGAATGAGGTGATTCTTAAGAGACAGACGATTGACTCCAATATTTAGGTTTGTCTTCCTATCAGGTTTCTAACTGGGGATGATGCGTCTCCCTCAGGTCAACTTGTGTGTGTGTGTGTGTGTGTGTGT